TAATATATAAGCCCTGTTGAAACTGATTTGCACAGAAGTGATAGCAGTTGTGGTTCTGTGAAGATTACTAAATCAAAAGATGTTAGTGAACTGGCTACTGAGAATCTTTGGTGTAATTTGTCAAATTCAAAACCAAATCTGTAATGTTTACATCCAATACTTAAAATGAAGACTAGGGAATAAAAGAGATTTATATTACATTTGAATTATAAATGAGAACAAAATAAAAATCAAATGAACTGGTAAAAGGTACTAAAAAGGACCTAAGACTAATAAGAATAGGCGAAGAATTTTCATCTGAAATAATTTTTTAAAGTGTTTAAGATTCGGCTATATTTGCCTACACAAAGGCCTTCCTTTCTTCTGAGAGGGGTTTGAGCTCAGAGTCCAGGCTCTGCCACTCGCCAGGAGACATGGCAAGTGGTTCAACCTCTCTGTGCTTCTGTCCTTGTCCATAAAACAGGCACAGAAATGGAGGGCGATGATGAGAATTAAATATGTAAGATGCTTAGAACATCTGGCACAGAGTAGGTACTATTAATAAAATTTAGTTTGTCATTATTTGCCAACTGTATATACCAAATGTGTTGGTGATAATTCACTGACTATATAGGAATCAATGACTTGCTAGAACATACACTTAAAATTAGGAAAGCGAAAATACTTTTTCTAGAACATAAAAGAAAACCCTGAAAACTCAGGAATATATACACCCACAAATTTCTCTGTCTTAAAACTTAAAGTGTATTGAATGTAGGAATAACTTCCCAAATAGCAAAGTAGCAAGTAAATTTTTATTTGGAAGAAACAAGATTAAATAGCCATAGGAAAACAGTCAAGTTTGTTGGCAAAATACCATTTACAGACTTAAGATGTCTATTTTATGCAATTTAACTATGAACACATTTTCATATTTACTTTTCTCTTTGGGAGGCACAGTTTTCTTTGTCCAAGAAAGAAAAATAATTAATGTTTTAAAATCTAATCACTAGTTTATCTCAGAAACTCCTGGCAAGGCTTAAGGGAATTATGCAATAGATGTGTGGTTTAATTAGGCCCAACTGAATTTACTGAAGTTTGAATCAAAGCACTAAGTTTTTTCTCTGCTTACATTAAAAAAAAAAAAATCTTATTCTGATCTCAGAGGAGAAAGCTTTCTGTGGTCAAATTGTCTAAAATATTTTATATATGAAGTGTGTTACTTTAGCTCATCTATGGAGGTTTGCATTTTAACATTTAGATGCACAAAGTGCAAATCACAAATCAGGTGAGAATAAAGTAGACAGAAATATGTGCCTGCACCTGAACATGTGGGGTCTTATCTTGGATGGAAATATATTATCATCAAACATTCTTTATAATGGTTTAAAAATTTTTTTTAAATGAAACATTCTTTATAGTGGTTTTAGAAAAAAGATATTGATGCTATTTCATTCTTTAGGATTTTCCTATAAATGGAAGCCCAGTTAAGAGTTTTAGCTTTGAGATTTAATGTTGTCTAGCATTACATGTGCTCAACAGAGCTGATTCCATTCGGTGAATCCAACAGAACCCTAGAGTTTAAGAGTATGAAAAAAGTTATCCTTGAGGGATACTGAATGGGCTTGAGAAAAAGGCTACAAGAGCGTTTGGATGAAGTATTTCTTCTAGGGCAAGGCTTTCTCCACTCTTCCACTATCCCTTTTGGGTTTTCTGTTATCTGAGAGCAGCAAGGAATGCTCCACACTCCTTAATAATTATGTTTTGGCCTTAAATAATTACCAACTCTTTTGCAAGTGTATAAAATCTTATTTCTTTACAGGCTGATATTTAGAGAAAGAAAAGACAAAGGACAAGGTAAGTCATGTCATGTAAGAACTAGTAATAAAATAAATGTCTACTTGATAATCTTTTACAAACGAAAATTGGTTGCTAGGTTTTACTAAGTATGTTACAAATCTATAATTCAGAATTAAAGTTTTCTAGCTTTTATATATTTTCAGAAAAATCTGTTTAAATTTTTGTTCTTCTAAACATTCTGTAAAAACTAAACATAAAACTAGATGAAAACTATTTTGTGTAAGAACGTAATTTCTGTAGATGTTTTTCACATAAATTGAAGCGTATGATATGTAAGCACTAAACTTACACTGCACACAGCACACGCAGGGCCCTGGAGCAATGCCTAGTGTTCTCTGTGCCAGCAGCATAGGCACCGCCTGGGAGTGTGTCAGAAATGCAGAATCTCAGGCCCCACCGCAGCCCCCCTGCATCAGCATCTGAACCGGTTAGCTCTCCAGATGTTTCTGATGTCTGCTCTAAGGCAGTGATTGTGAGGGCAGAGGAAGTGCGTCAGAATCACCTGGGAACCTGCTGAGAAGATAGCTGTCAGGGCTCTGCCCCAGTGGTCCAGGGGTGGCCTGGAAAGAGGGGGAGCAGAGGCATTTGCATTTTAAAGAAGCTTCACAGTGATTATAAGGCAACCTCCTGGTTAAGAATAAATCCTTTAGAAATATTTTAACCAAAATCTTGAACTAAAACTTTGCTCATTATTGTCAATAAGCCTGACCCTCCCTAGTTATCCACTTTGTTTCACACTACAGGTGGTGGTGGCAGATTAGAAAAACATGTATTCTCATCTTTTCCTAATAAATAATTACTGACACTCTACAGAATTTCTTCTCTATTTAAATGAAAGATTCTCTATTGCTGTTTTTCAAAATAATTATCTTCTTGCTAGGTAACAGTTCTATAGAAGGCCCAAATGTTTTAGTTTCTTTTCTAATTTGATACCATTCTGGCCTTCTTCCCCCACTCCTCAATGCTAATAGTTTCTAACCTGTAGCCTGAGCTTAAACAATTTTAATTTACAACTAATAATTGATACTTGTTAAAATATTGGTTGGCAAATAACAATGAGACTAGCTTTAAAAATATCTAAAATTTTTGTCCTATTTAACAGGCTATATTAACATTTAGCCTATTTTTTCCCTTAAAATATTTAATAATTTCCCTTAACAATTTCCATTACGATTGTACCAGATATACATAATAAGCAAACATCTTAGTAAAATTCAGCATATGTTCCTGCCTGCAATAAGCACTAAGCAAAAAACAAGATTGTAATTATCCTTCTTTTCTTAAACTAAAATCAAGATTTCACAAAAATACTTTTAGGCATGATTTTGTTTTGACAAAGGTAACATGAAAAACATAAAGCTTTCATCTTTAATTAAAAGAAACCAATGTGACCTAATTCCTTATTTTATGAAAAAGACTTCTGACTTTACTCCTCTAATGGATTAACCAACTGCATTTCCCATACTTCAAACGGCAATGCCACTTCAACCATTCTTAAAATATTACATTATGTTTAAAATTATTATGAATAAATATTTATAGGCAGGTTAAAAAATGAACAAAAAATTGAAGCCTCTTTTTCCCTACAGAGAACTATGTATCTATGAATAATTTGTTGCCACTGATACTATCTTAGAGCATTTAAAAGTTTTGCCCTCAAAGCAACCATAGTAGGCAGATACATAGCAATATTTCTCAAAATGCTTCTGGATTTTCCTTTAGAGCTCTCCAATATGTAAGCCACACAAGAAAACTGTTCTCATTAACCAATTATTACCCATTTTACTGGGGTTAAAAATGGAATTTCTTGGTCTGAACACTTACCTTATTCATCCCACTTAACTCTTAATTTTGGTAGTTTAAAAAAAATTAAATTCACCTTCAATGGAGAAAAAGAGTTGTCTCTACTAAAGATATTCAGAAAGATGTATCACAGGAACATTCCAAAATTATCTCAAGTAATAAAAAGCAACATTAGGCTAGGCACAGTGGCTCATGCCTGCAATCCTAGCACTTTTGGAGGCCTGGGCAGGAGGACTGCTTAAGGTCTGGAGTTCAAGACCAGCCTGAGCAAGACCAAGACCTCCACAAAAAAACCCAGAAAAATTAGCTGGGTGTGGTGGTGCACACCCGTACTCCCAGCTACTCCTACTTGGAAGGCTGATTCAGGAGGACTGCTTGAGCCCAGGAGTTTGAGGTTGCAGTGAGTTATTAATATGACATCACTTCATTCTAGCCAAGGTGACAAAGCGAGACCCTGTCTCAAAAAAAAATGAAAGAAAAAAGAGCATCACTGTTAGAATAAGTGTATAACCTCTCCAGTTAAATATGACTCATTTAAATGTGAAGCATGACTAATTTATTCTTAAAAAGTCATATGACATTAGTCATTATATATATATATATATATGTATGTATATATATGTATGTTTAAGTATCCTATACTCCCTCCTAAAATCACCTAAAAGTAATGAAAATATGTGTTTTTAGTTGGGCAATAACTGGAGCATAGCATAACTGGAGCAATTAAATTTAAGATATTACTTTTATTAAATAAAAGTTACACTATGATTTTTATGTACTGTTGAAAACAATGACTGTTTTATTTGTCTAAAGGCAGCAGTAGTTCCCACTACTCTCTCGTGTTACAGTTAAGCCTTGATTTAGTTCCAGAAAATAATAGGGTAAAATTTTCATATTTCCCTAGATCTATATTTCCCCGTCTACTATAAGGGAATTTTAGAACATGAAGGCAAAACAGATATAAAAGAACATTTTTAGATGACAATTTTTCCTTGGAATTTGGTTAAAATTTGGCTTCCTCTCAGAAATCTGTACTCACATCCATAAAAGTAAATTTCTATTTTAGTAGCCTTAAAAGAACTAGGTGAGAAAAGATTATTACCTATAACAGTAAAAAGCAAATACTTTGGCAAGTGTGAATAAGAGTACTATTAAGTAAAGACATTCACAAATACATTTTTTACGTCTCTTAGATGTGGTATAGCTTATAAATTAGAATTAAAGCATCATGGTTATTTGATTGAAGGGTACTGGTGGGCATTAACAACACATCTGTCCCCAAAAGATGTGTAGCTTCATGGGGAAAAGTCAGTCAAGCGAAGGGGTAGGGGAGAATAAAACACAGAAAACACCACAAATCTCAGAACATTATCTCTTTTTGTCTGAAAAAATGGGTTCCCTGAAGCATGGAAAAAACTTCACAGTGGGAGTGCTTCTATTCCACTAGCAGGGGAGGTCTTGATGCGGATTCTGGCCATTCATACACATCTGGCAGCAGAGAATCATATTCACTTCGCCATATTCTTTCTTTAACATATTTGGCCTTGTCTTCAGGTTCTGGGTATCGGAAAGCCATTTTATTAGCATACAGGTATTCTGTAACCTGAAAAATAAATAAGAGTACTGTATAGGCTCAGAGTATTAACCTATTAGAGAGACGAAGTACCATTATAACACAGAGATGAATTTAAAAGAATGACATTTTCCTTTTTCAAAATAAAAAAATATTACTTTGATTCATTTGAAATTTTTGGAAACTATGAAAAGTTTAAAGGATAAAATCAAATAAATTTAAATTCTATTATGTGTCAATCTAGTGCACACATTCAGGTAATCTGCCCAGCCCAGGTCATTGCCCCCAGCCCTGCTAAAAGGGTGGGCTTAGGGGGCCACATTGTGCAGGAGACTCTGCTTCCTAGTAGTCACAGCTGCCTTGACCAGGGTGAAAACCTAACCCAAGGTGAGCCAGATGATTTTGCTCTAGAATTTGGATTAAGAGATATAGAAATTATTATAAATCAGGTGCTGGACACCAGAACTATAAATTCAAGTAAAGTTAGGGCTAGAACCTATACATGTAAAACTTACCACCACCATCACTCAGTGCCAGGCATGTTCTAAATGTCTTACACAGATCTTTCTTAGTCCTGAAGAACCTTAAAATGCTATTATCATTCTCATTTTACATATGAGGATGCCAAAGTATGAGGAATTAAAGTATTTGTCCAAGGTAGTTAAGTGAGAGCTATGTTTCAAACTCTCAAAGCATTCTGATTCCAGATACCAGACCCTAAACAGTTAAGCTAGGTTCCTCCCCACCTAGGGTGGCTTGAGTGGATATCTGATCTTGGCAACCAAGCCACACACCACAATTGGTGGTGAGGATAAGCCATTTAAACCTCATTTTTGATGTAAAATGAGGAACGTGAAAAGCTTCCATACAGGGTTGTACTGTGACTGTCATACAGTTATGTTCTCAAGTTATGGTTTTAACTTTGAAATATATGTAAGTGACACATGGTAGAGAAAATTCAAACAATCATGCCTGTCTCCTCCTCCTCTAATTTCAAGTAGTGACCACTATTAAAGTTTTGTTTCAGACGCTTTCTAAAAGAAAAATTTAAGAATAAAATGGTGGTTAAAAAATAATCCATGGTCCCAAGAGCTCAACCTCAGTGTAATTTGTGATGAAAAATGTGTTCAATTGTTTTCTATTCTCTTATAGAAAAACATATTTTTACTAATGTTTTAATATCATTGACTTGAAAACAAAGTAGGCAAGGAATAGTCCTCAGTGACAAGCAAGAGCAATAAAGATATAAGAAGATTTAAAAACCCACGTGCCAAATAAACACCACACATGTCATTAGTACAGTTTGTTGACCAACTTTTTCTAAGTTTTTGTTATTAAACAGGAAAAACAGAAATGATATGAAAAGACAGGCAGGGATTTCTGCTTCCAGGGAGATAGAGTACACACACACTTTTCCCTATTCCTTCCATTAAATACAACTAAAATCCCCAGGACATTGTATATAAAAACAAACATACGACAACTCTAAAAGGAGATGTGTACCATGACAACTCAGTAATGCTGCAGACTCCCAAGTGTGTAGTAGGGAAGCCGCCCTTGGAGAGCTGAGTGTGTGTGGCTTGCTGGTGAGCAGCGTTAAAAGTAAATACATAAAATAAACAGCCAGGCATGGTGGCTCATGCCTGTAATCCCAGAACTTTGGGAGGCCAAGGCGGGAGGATCGCTTGAGGCCAGAAGTTTGAGACTTCAGTGAGCTATGATTGTGGCATTCCACTCTAGTCTGGGCAACAGAGTGAGACCTCATCTCAATCAATAAATTAATATATAAATACATAAATAAATAAATGAAGGAGAGAAGGCGGCAGACCAGACATACAAACTTCTTACCTGCAGCAGAGCATGGGAGGGAGAATGAGGCATTGGCTACCACACATGCAGGTCAGAAGTCAGCTAAAATTTTAAGGAACTGCCAAAGGTCAATGTGAGCTAGTGTTTTAGTTTGGCATAGTCACAAGCCTCAGACACAAAGGAAGGGGGAGTTTGCATTCACTGGCAATCTCTTTCCCACAGGCCTCCAATGGTACCCACAGAAAAAGATTAGGGGTGAGGTATGAGATCAGAGATAGCTTCCCCTGCATGCAGGCGTGGACTGGTAGCCAGAAGAGAAGCCATAGCAACCCTACTCACAGGGCTGAGATGAGGAGATCAGGGGCTGAAGGCTGGGGAGAGGACAGACACAAAGCCTGCCTATTCTGGCCCTTTTCTCCTTTGTTTTCAAAAAGAAAAGCCTTATAACACTGCAGAAGCAGCAGAGGGGGAGGAGACACGAACCTGGGGCTGTGCTCCTATACTACTATTAATGACCTCATGTACTACCCTTTTATTTGGACATATTAGGGATCTCTTAACTGACTAACATATCTTCCAAAATCTATTCCACCTGAAATGTCATTGTATAAATTCTAATGTTGAAATCAATCATCCTAGTTTTAGTGTCTAAAATCTTCAATTGTCTTGCAGTAGTAAGGTAATCAGACTCCTTAGCCTGTCATTTGTACATTTTTACAAGCTTGGCTTTAATATAACTTTCAAATTTTCTCTTAAATAATTTTCCTACCTATACCTTAGCCTCTAGCTCAATTGGACTGGTGGTTGTTCCTTAAACACATCATCCTTTACCAATTTCCAATCTTTGCTTAAGTTATGAGCATCAAAACAATGCAACAATAAAATAGTCAAAGGGTACAATCTTATGATCATCTGTATACAAGCTGAATATATGGTTGATAAATTCCACATCTAATCCTGACGTTTTAAGAAAATCTTAGTAAACTAAGAATAGAAGCCTACTTCTTTTAAAAAGACAGAAAATACTTAATTTAATCAAAACTACCATCCCATTTAATATTTTTTTTCATCCCATTTAATATTAAAATACAATGATGTTAGCTGGGCATGGTGGCACACACCTATAGTTCCAGCTACTTGGAAGACTGAAGCAGGAAGATTACGTGAGCCCAGGAGTTCAAGACCAGCCTGGGCAACATAACAAGACCTCAGCTCTATATTAAAAAAAAAAAAAAAAAAAAGAGAGAGAGATGCTGCCCCTATCAACCTAATTGCTTAAAAGTGTTGTGTTCTGCAGTTCCAGTTAATTTATAGTAAGATAGAGAAAAAGGAGCTATTATATATTTAAAAAGAAAAAAATTATTTGCAGATGACTCGACAATTCCAAAAGAATTGAGAAACTATGAAAAAAATTAAGCTTGTTCATAAAGAAACTGGTTATCAAGTAAATACATAAAATTAATACGTTTCCTAGATATTAGAAATGATCAGCAAGAAAATATATGGGAAAAAAACATTCATAGAATAACAAAAATTTTTAAATATTTATGAAAAGAAGTAAAAATGCCACATTCAGATGAAAAAAACAAAATTATACTGAAAGACTATTTTTAAAAAGACCTTAAGTGGAGAGAGATATTGATTGAGGAAGACTCAATATTGAAAGAGTTCATTTCACCAACCTAATTTATAAATGTTAACAATTTCATACAAAGTTACAGGTTTTTTTGAATTCTGAATTCAAAAAACTCATACAAAAAAATTTCCCAAAGAATATAAAGTTCAGAACAGGCAAGAAAATACTGAAAAAGTATAACGATTGGAAATATAAAGTACCAATTTTTTTTTTTTGAGACAGAGTCTTCCTCTAGCCCTGGGTAGAGTGCAATGGTATCATCATAGCTCACTGTGGCCTCAAACTCTTAGATTCAAGTGATTCTCCTGCCTGAGCCTCCTGAGTAGCTGGGACTACAGGTGTACACCACCACACCCAGCTAATATTTTCTATTTTTGGTAGAAACTGTGTCTCACTCTTGCTCAGCTGGTCTTGAACTCCTGAGCTCCAGGGATCCTCCCTCACCTTGGCTTCCCAGAGTACTAGGTTTACAGGTGTGAGTCACTGTGCCCAGCCAGTACTGAATGTTAATATACGTTATACACACTATGATAACTAAAACAGTGCCAAATAGTAAACAAAAATGTTAGGGAACAGACATGCCAGGAAAAGATTCAACTCCCAATCAACTGGAAACAATAGATCATTAGTCAATAAATGGTGCTGGTGCAATTGGTTAAAAATGTTCCCTGTCTCACAATATGCCTTAAAATAAATCTCAAAAGGATTAAAAAGTTTTATATTATTAGAAAATCCAAGTAGATATTTATGATTTTTGCAGTAACAGAAGGCATTAATATTCATAAAAGCTGAGGAAAGAATCTACAAAATAAAGAAAATAGATAATTCTGTAAAAAACTTTTAAAAAAAATGGCACGTCAAACAATTTCATAAAGTTAAACATATGACAAATCGGAAAATATCTGCAACATATCAACAGGAGGATCACTATATTTAATATATAAAAAGCTCTTACAAACCAATACTAGAAAGTGGAGAGACAAATATCCCAATATAAAAATGAGCAAAGGTCATGAAATAGGGAGTTCACAGAAGAAATACAATTGCTGAATAAACACAAAATAATTCTTCAATCTCACTAGTAAAATAAGTGCTTTAAATAAAAATGAGATACAATTTTCACCTATTAAATAGGCGAGATTAAAAAATAATTCTATGTATGGGCAAAAGTGTGGGAAAAGATACACTCATATCTAATTGCTGCATGTAAATCAGTACTTTTTTCTCAGGAGACAGGTGGCAATATGTATCAGATGCCTTAAGCATCTTAAAACCTTTTGTTCTTATGATTAGAATTTATCTCAAAGAAAAAATATCGCAAATGCACATAAAGATTTATCTATGAGGATGTTTACTACAGCATTATTTCTGACAATAAGAAACTAAAAATTTAAATGCCCCAAAAACACAGAAATGATGAAACTATGATATAGTAACAAAGAGAACACCATGCAACATTAATGATCACACATGACAATAATTATTGACTTACCAGGAAAAGGCTTACAGTATATTGAATGGAAAAAGTGCAGTGAGAAATCAATTATAAAAACAGGTGCAAGTGACTATGTCCATATGTATCTACCTATATATATACTTTTTTTTTTTTTGAGATAGAGTCTCACTCATGCCTAGAGTGCTGTGACGTCAGTCTAGCTCACAGCAATCTCAAACTCCTGGGCTCAAGCAATCCTTCTGCCTCAGTCTCCCTAGTAGCTGGGACTACAGGCATGCGCCACCATGCCTGGCTAATTTTTTCTATATATTTTTAGTTGTCCAGCTAATTTCTTTCTATTTTTAGTAGAGATGGGGTCTTGCTCTTGCTCAGGCTGGTTTCGAACTCTTGACCTTGAGCTATCCTCCCCCCTTGGCCTTCCAGAGAGCTAGGATTATAGGCGTGAGCCACTGCGCCCAGCCTATATATTTATTAATATAAAAATATAAGACTAGAAGCCAACAAACCCAAAATAATAATGTGTATTATATTCTGGTAGTAAGAATACGGGTGACCTAAAATTTCCTCTTGGAACCCTTCTAAATGTTTCAAATTTATCTAATGAACTTGTGTTTCTAATATAACAAAATGTCATTAAGACTTATGTGAAGAAGTATAGATTACTTACTTTAATAGCAATGTTAATAGACACTTCCTGAATATTAGCAAGTGGTGGGTAAAGTCTCCCTTGAGCTAGCTCCTTCTCCGTCAATTGGCTTGTCAGTGCCTTTAAGAGAAAAACAGCATAAGGACCTAGTAAAATGGAAAAAGCACTGGGGAAACAGAATGATACAGGTAATATAATTCTCCTTTCTGGCAGGAATATACTTAAACCATAGCAGAATTAAAACTTTTCACTAGTAAGCAATAAAGAAATAACCAGAGTTAAAGATTTATTGATATATTCTACTTTATACATAACAGGGCTCAGCATAATTACAACAGCTACTATGAAAATAGTGAAGTCTAGAACTCCAACTGGCCAGCTCTCTAAATAATACCAGTACTTGTCCATTAAAAATATGCAAGGAGTTATATTTTATCTATGCTGTCATAATATGTTCATATATATATATATATATAATGTAAGTATAATCTAAGTGTTTTAATACAAAAGGCTTCATAGTTTACATGATTAAAAAAATTAATTTACGCAAAAGGAGATAGGTAAATCATAAAGTAATTTATGAGTAACTTCCTTTTCTTTAATAAGGTAGAGTTAACCCTCTCTTTCTTTCTTTTTTTTTTTTGTAAAGAGACAGCATCTCACTATGTGGCCCAGGCTGCACTCAAAGAGATTCTCTTGCCTCAGCCTCCTAAGTAGCTGAGACTATAGGCACACACTACCACACCTGGCTTTCTCTCTGCTTTTAAGATCCATTTATCTTTAAAATTCATCCTTTATAAAATAAAGAACATTTAAAATGTTTACCTTTGCAGCTTCTAGGAAAACATTGTCACTTATGTGCCGGGTGTGACAGAGAATAACAGCTAAAGCCACACCTAGAATACATTTTTAAGTAGTTTACTTAGTAAGGTCATTTTTCAAATTATGCAAAGAGCCAAATTCCTAATGCAAGCAAATAAATGGCAACCCATCCCCCATCCCAAACAGCTTCTCCCAAAGCAGAAAGCAGCCAAGAGAAAACAGAAAATCAAATAAAATGATCTTTGTTATAATTCTTATTTTCTAAAGAAATAGTTTTAGAAATATCAAATGGCTTTTCTCAGCTGTTGCCCAGGCTGGAGTGCAATGGGGTAATCATAGCTCACTGCAGCATCGAACTCCTGGGCTCAAGTGATCCTCCTGCTTCAGCCTGCCAAGTAGCTACAGATATGCACCATCATGCCTGGCTAATTGTTTTTATTTTTTGTAGAGGTGGGGTCTCACTATGTTGCCCAGGCTGGTCTCCTGGACTCAAGTGATACTCCTGCCTTGGCCTCCGAAAGTGCTAGGATTACAGGTGTTAGCCACTATACCTGGCGAGGACCTTTGTTTTTGTTTGTAATGTTATACAATTTCATAATGCTATGCGCCTTGATGTGTGTTATTTTCACCTACCATGTTTAGCATGCAGTGGGTAGGCTCTTCCTATCTGAAAATTGAGTCTTTCAGTTTTGGGAAATATTCATGAAGTCTCTGATAATTTCCTTCCCTCCGATTTTCAGTTCTTACTTGCTGAAATTTCTATTTTCTGATATTGTACCTCCTGGACTAGCTCTCAAATTTTCTTCTTTATTTTCCATCTCCTATCCTTTGATCTATTTTTAGGTGACTTCCTCAACCTTTTCTTCTAACCTTTCTGCTACCAAACTTTTCTTTTTCAAGATCTCATTTTATATTCTGATTTTTTTAAAAGTAAAATTCTGTCTTGTTTTCAGAATATAATATTTTGTCTCTATGAGAACATTGATACTTTTTTTTACTTTCCTTCTTTTCCCATAATCCTTGTTTTTTCTCCAAGATGCCTTTTTTTTCTGTTTGTCTACTTTGGTCTCTCATGAAAATCTCTTCATATAAAGGTTAGGAACTAAAAAGAGATTGGTAACTATAAGCATGAGGGTAGGGCTTACTCACTTTGAGCAGCCCTGTTGCGTGACCTGGTTTTTAATCTATTTTCTGGCACCTCTGTCCTCAACTATGTCTGGTGTCTCTCAGGCTAGAAATTGTTTTACTCTATTCAAAAGAATATCCCAACTATCTCTGGCAACAATAGGGAAGGGTAGTTATCAGATTACCCTGGGCTGAGAAGAAATTCACATGGTCAACAGCTTCTTTATTTTAGTCCAGCCTCCAGATATTTTTTTTTTTAGTGCAGCATTTAATTGGTATACATTTAATCTAGTTATTTAAATGTGTGGGGCTAAATCTACTGTCTTCTTATATTTGTCTTGCTTATTGTAAGTTCCTTTTCCTCTTCTTTCTTGCCTTTTGGATTTTTACAATTTCATTTCACCCCTTAATATTACCTTACCATAAATAAGAAGTTTTTCTAGTATTCTACTGGTTACTCAAAAATTTATAATATACATCCTTATCGAACTTTCACATTTTTAATTTTCCTTCCTGCCAAGGTAAGTCCCTCATAACAGCTTAACTGATAAACAATTATAATATTATTGCTGTGCATTTTAATTTTGTCTCTACTTATTTTTCAAAATCCCATGTTATTTTTGTTTCGCTCTACATTAAAGTTTCATTTTGTTATACCCATCCATATATTCACAACTTTCTTTGCTCTTCATTCCTTCTTACATCTTTGAGCTTATATCTGGAATTATCTTCTTTTTGCCTAAGGAACAAAATTTCCTTTCCTTTAAATCAGGTCTGCAGATGGTGAATCCTGTTTTTTGTTTTTCTGAAAATATCTTCCTTATATATGTTCACTGTATAATGAATTCTAGGTTGGTAAATATTTCCTAAAATCAATTTAAATAGATCATTCCACTGCCTTTGGGTATTTTATGGCTGTTGAAGAGTCAGTCTAACATTTGCTCCTTTGAAGGAACATTTTGCTATGGCTGCTTTCATATTCTTTTCTTTGTTGTCGTTCTGAAGCCTCATGATGATGTTCCTAGATGTGGATTTTTTTTTATTTATCCTACATGTGTCTTAATGAACTTTCTAAAATTTTAAAAGTTTTTTTGTAGAGATGATGTCTCACTATGTTGCCCTGGCTGATCTTGAAATCCTGGACTCAAGCTATCCTCCCACTGCAGCCTCCCAAAGTGCTAGGATTACAGGTGTGAGTCACCATGCCTGGCTCAGTAAAATTCTTGAATATTGATTGTCTTTCATCAGTTCTAAGAAATTCTCAGCCATGAGGCCTGCAAATGTTGCCTCTACTTCATTCTCATTTTCTTCTAGGACTTCAATTAAAGATATATCAATTAAAGGTATACCTCTTACCAGTTTTTTTATTTTCCTTTTTTAAATCTGTTTCATTTTGGATTATTTCTTTTGAGATATCATCTAGTTGATGAATTCTCTTTGGTCTAATCTGCTCTAAGCCTCATTCACTCAGTTCTTACAGATTATTGTGTTTTTCAATTCTAGAATTTACTGATACCTGCCTGAAGTTTTCAAGCTTGGCTTTTATCTCTACAGACATAATCAGCATATTTGTTTCATAGCACTTGTCTTGTATCTAGAGTGTCAGCATGTTGTTTTTGTGTCTGCTGTTTAGCCCTGTGTTGTCACATCTCTTTATGTACCTCATTATCTTTTATTTTTTTACTGAGGTTGTATTTAAAAATTTATTTAAAAAAATAATTTGTGGACTAAGATAATGCTATCTTACTTCAGAAGAGATTGTTGTTTGCTTCTGCTGGGCACTTGTGGGCGCTGGTAGTCCAGAACAAAGGTTTGAGGTTTTCTAAATCACCCATTGCTGCTGCAAACTATACCCCCAGGGTACAGTCCTTTAGGGTTTCAGTTCAGAGTGGGAGGCAGTTCAATAGAACACTATCCTTGGCAGGTGCCAGACTTGGACAAGGTGCACATGAAACCACAGCAATACCTCTCAGCCACTTTCTTCTTGGTCACTGCTACTAATGTAAAACTGGCTTTGAATACTGGCTCATCTTTCTGAGTGCTAGTTCCCGCCCTAATCTTGATCCAGAATTCCTCAATATTTTATTAAGAGTCAATATCTTACTAGCTTTTTGACCCTTAGAGTATTTTTGTTGCTATTTCATGCAGTTGTTATATGCTGAACTAGGTCATTTAAACATTATTACAGCCTTCTTTTTAGTTGCTTTATCAACATATTGAGGCAATCCTCCTGATTTTAGGATTTTTTTTTTTTTTTTTTGAGACAGAGTCTTGCTCTGTCACCCTGGCTAGAGTACAGTGGCATCATCATAGCTCAATGCAACCTCAAATTCCTGGGCTCAAGTGATCCTCCTGTCTCAGCCTCCGAAGTAGTTGGGACTATAGGCATGCAACACCATGCCTGGCTAATTTTTCTATTTTTTTGTAGAGATGGGGTCTTGCTCTTGCTCAGGCTGGTCTCGAACTCCTGACCTCAAACAATCCTCCTGCCTCGGCCTCTCAAAGTGCTAGGATTATAGGTGTGAAGCACCGCGCCCAGCCAAGGATCATTTTTACCTCTATTGCCAGGTTATTTTTTATGTCTATATTTATAGTGCTCATAACTGTTATTAATAAAGTTAGGACTTTAAAGTATTATATAAAAGTAATCAACTTCTAAATTCTTTAGTAGTCAAACATGATATAAAAAATAGCTTTGTTAAAACCAGCAGAAAAGTATTCCTTTTCATGCCCTCATGCCTTTACACCATAAAAATATTACTGAATAAAACAGATTGATTTTGACCATTATCAAGTTCTAGAAAGAGATTTATCAATGATGGGGCTGTTTCTATTATAGATGCTAGGTCTCAAGAAACAACAACTTCATGAGGGAAAAAGGAGGACAGTAATATACAAAAGCAATAGGATGCTTCACAGTCTAAATAATACTTTCTCTACTTTGACAACAGTTACCACATGCTTGCCTGAGGCCAGCCTATGGAAGCTATCAGTCTACTTGTCACATCTTAATTGGAGCCTGCTGTCAGCTATTCAGGGAAAGGCCCACAAGAAGAAAAAAGAAATAAGTTCGAAGGAAATTCATACCAAATCCCTATTTTACTCAACAAAGTCTTTCCTTAAAATAAATGGACAACTGGGGATCACCAGAAATGTGTGGGAAAAAACAGCACAAAGATTTAAAAGATTTAAAAGAATTTAAAAGAATCCTAATAATTCTCCAGAGATAGTTGAAAGAATACTACCATTCCCTTTTTAAAAAGCAGCTATTTAAAAAAGCAGTTCTAGAATTAAAAAAAAGGTACTGGGAATAAAAAATAAGTTGCTGAACTGACTGAATTAATGACAAATGATATTAAGCATTTAAGTTAATTCCCCAGATGGTGCATACCACACCCATTAGGTGTGAATATACTCATCCCCTCCTCTCCCTTCTACCTGCCCAACACCCAATGAATATTACTACCATATGTGCACATAAGTGTTGATCAATTAATACCAATTTGCTGGTGAGTACATGTGGTGCTTGTTTTTCCATTCTTGTGATACTTCATTTAGTAAAATGAGCTCCAGCTTCATCCAGGATAATACAAGATCACCATTGTTTTTTGTAGCTGAATAGTACTCCATGGTACACATATACCAATTTTATTCATCCACTAATGTATTGATGGGCACTTGGGTTAAAAATAGGAATACTTTTTAATTTTTTAGAGATACATACTGAAGTAGTTGTGAATGAAATTATATAATGTCTCTCATCTGCTTTAAAATAACTCATGAAGGTGGGGAGGTGGGAGGGACTATAGATTAAGTAAGACTGGCTGCATGGTGATAATTGCTAAAAAGTGGGAGACTGAAACATACGACTGAATTCAATTATTCTCTCTAGTTCTGTATATGTTTGATATACATATATTTGAAATACATATTATTGTCCATAATAAAAAGAAAAAAAAAGACTTGAACCAAAAACACAAAAAAATCCCAGTAACCTTTTAGAAATCTAAAAAGAAAATTTTAAAGATTTTGAGAGAGAAAAAGCTAGTTAATGTATAAAGGAATGAGAATCTCACTGACATCAGATTTCACTAGCCGCTAGGAGTGAATGGAAGAATGTTTCCAAAGGTCTGAGGGAAATGACTTTCACTCTGCAAATCTCTACCTAGCCAAACTGTCATGTGAGAGGACAAAATAAAGACATTTTCAGATATATAAAAACTCAGGAAGTTTTCATCTACATTTTAGAAAAAAAAACTTTCTCAAAGATGTTTTCTAGAAACATGAGTCAGAGAAAGAATGGAATAGCACACATGGGTAGGAGAAAGAATAACACGTGATATAAGCAACAGTTTCCTGTAGAGTAAGAAGAAATGACGAATAGTGGCAACAAATTAAAGGAGGATTCATTCATTATACTTAATTACTTGAAAGGTTTTGAGTGTCAAAAATTTAGTGATATAAAACTGCATATTCTAGTATATTTATCAAATCACACTCTTTAGATCATGAATAACATTTATATAATCATGGTTTTGAATATTCAGAATCAATCTGTAGACAAAGCACAGAAGCGAAAAGAACACAATGTGAATGTCAAAAACCCCTCTAAAAGGTAGAAATATTAATGACCAAAATTGAGATGGAGTAAGAAATAAGAAAGCTAAACATCAGATTTTTTTTTTCATTTTTCACTATGACAAGCTAATAAAAACTTTTAAGTTCCTAACAAAAAGTTCTTTATGTTATATAAAGATAAAAGGTAACTACTTAGAAAAACTAAAAGTAGTAAGACTGAGCAGTAGAGAGAGGCAGCAAGGTATTAGAAGATACTCTGCACTACTACTTATATTTCATAGTGGGACATTCATACACACAGTTGAGTTGGAAGGATTAATAAAGGGAGACAAGTGTATCAGCTATGATGGTAACCACCAGAAAAACTCAAAGACCACCACTGACAGTGGTTACATCTGAGACTGTGATAAGGAGGTACCCAAGAGGAAATACAGAGGGTTAAATAATTTTATACTATTCTGTTCCTTTGCATGAACCATGTAATATATCATTTTTATAAGGAAAACAAGGTTAATTAACAATATGAATAAATTTTTGAGAAAATAAAGTAGATTGGATTTGCTAAATTTCTTGACTTTCTCTGTACATTCATACCAAAATTCTGTAAGTACTGTTGCTCATTTTTTCAATCTTAAATTCCAAAGAATTCCAGGAAGTATTTTTATTTAATTAACTATTACAACATAAATAATACATTACCTGGAAATATATATGCATTGTTTCCTTGACCTGGTATAAAGACTCTCCCATCGCTGAGTTTTACTGGCTCAAATGGACTGCCACTGGCAAACAAACACCTTCCCTGTTAATAAAATGAAATAACTTCAATTTTTTTTTTTTTTTTTTTTTTTTACTTTATATGGATTAGAAAGGTGAGGTAAATTCACGGAAAACCAAATCCTGTAGTAAAGTAGACCAATACATTACTTGGAAGCAAGGCATAATTTACTATACCATATAACTCTGCAGTCCTCAATCCCTGAGCCATGGGCTGGTACCAGTCTGGTCAATGGTCCCTTTAGGAACCAGGCCATACAGCAGCAGGTAAGTGGTGGGGAGCGAGCAAAGCTTCATCTGTATTCACAGCCATCCCCCCCCATCACTTGCATCAGCTCCCAAGCTCCGCCTCCTGTCAGATCAGCTGCAGCATTAGATTCTCAGAGGAGCGGGAACCCTACTGTAAACTGCACATGGGAGGGATCTAGGTTGCTCCTTATGAGAATCTAATACCTGATGATCTGAGGTGGAGCTGAGGTGGTCATCAGCTGAGGTGATTATCATTAGCAGAGAGGTCTGACTGCACAGAGACCATAATAATTGCTTGCAGATTTATATCAAAACCCTATTAGTGAGTGTCAAGTAACAATGTAATAATAATAGAAATAAAGTGCACGATAAATACAATGTGCTTGAATCATCCCAAAACCATACCAGCCCCCCAACCCCTGCCCCCATGGAAAAACTGTCTTCCATGAAACTAGTCCCTGGTACTAAAATGGATGGGGACTACTGATATAACCCTTTTATTAAAATCCTTTTATAAAAATGAGGTTCATTTTTATACATAGTGTATATTTTTTTTTATTTATCTCACTGTGGTTTTGATATAGTGTATATTGAATAAATAAATAAAGTTGAAAAATATCCATTAATTTTTAAAAACCTGACACTTCCATTTCCTTTAAAAAATTTAAAATGTAGATCGCCAATAAATACCATCCCAAATAATAAAGACTGATGTAAACACTTATAAATGAAGGAGAAACATCAAATTTAAACTGCTACCACTCACTGTACATCTGCTGTTTTTGGCTCTGTACCATATACTTTGTATGTGTTATTAATAACTCAGTGAATTTAGTCCTCATGAAAACCTCATGAGGCTACTAACATCATCTCTATTTCACTAATTTAAAAAAAATCAGAAAACCAAGACTTCAATATACTTTCAAGTAAAAAGTCACACATCAAAATTGTAGCAGTTAAACCTGAATCCAGATTTTTCATAACTCTAGAGCCCATAGTCTTTCAATTATGCCATAACATCCCCCAGTAGGCAGTTTATAAAATAGTCTTGTGGTATCACCATATTACCATTCCAGAAAAAAATGGCATGTTGCCCTATTAAAGGAAAAAAGTCTCCCAATTAGTTGTATCCATCTGATTTTAGTACTACCACCTATAATGGCATATAATAAGTGTTACTGGCACATTCAGGATTTCTAAGAGAATTAGTTGCTCATGCAATTGAAAAGTTAATTTAGGAAACAAAATATTTTACATGTAATTTCCTTCCCCTCAAATTTCCCTCTACTGTCCCCCCATAAAAGACAAAGAACAAGATGAAAACAATAGTGATCAAACAGGATAACTTATCTTGGAATATGCAAAGAATAACTAAAATAAGTCATGATTAAATAGCCACTTGGGTTAGGTTAAAAGAGATTTACGGAAAACAAGTATCTCCCAACAGTAGGTTGGTTGAATTGCTATGATACCTGAACATTCAACAGAGTCATTCTAAGTGTTTAGACACTGCTCTGTCTTCTTTTCCTCAGATCTAAAAATGCATATTACATCAAGAGTGATTATCCTATATAGTATTGTAAGCCCCTGGCATTAGTTAATTTAACACTCAAGAATTTGGCTCTGGGCAATCTGAAAGTCCACGTTATATAATATGCATTATTTTTTACAAGACATGCTTCCAATTTTAAAATGATACAAGGTTTACCTGTAGAAGTAAGTTAACTATGCTAATTGTGGCCCAGCTAACTATCCTGGACCTGAAACTTCATACAGCTATAAATTTTCTACATATTCTAAAGATAGCTATTATAACTATCTACCTTGTTCTAAACATAGCTCTACTTGTGACAAAAATAATTTGGATTTTTGAAGATTAAAGTTAGTTCACAGTTAATGTCATACATGTTATCACAACAATGATGTGCATAAAAGACTATTTTTGTGGTACCATTAATTTCAATAGCCTTATAAAATAGATTATACAATATAGCAATTACGGGAAAAATGCTAATCCTCATGATAGCAGTAAGTCTGAAGATTTAGAAAGATCTTGGAATCTCCTCTACAATGTCAAGATTCTATAGCACTTCATCTTGTCCAGGCCACCTTTCCCCACTGCCCATAATCAACCTATGGCCAGATCTTAATGATAACAGTATATTCTTATTCTGAAGTACAAGCTGGCCTGTCTGAGCAAATGGCCATTAAAGTATGAAGACATTTTTTTTAAAAAGTATTTTTCTCACTGAGCAGCAGAGGGTGTTAGAATAACATTAAGACATCTCTCCCCACTAAAAACAAAAGGGGACTCAAAATAGAAGAGGTGACTGAACTACACAAAAATTTATGCCACTATTTTATGTAATACTGAGAAAGAATTTATATTAATATAAAGTTAAACTATGACACAATGTTTGGTTATCATTTTTTTGTAAGAGGCAGCACAATTTCAAAGTTGTAAAACTGTGAAAAATTTGGATCTTAAAACTAATGACATACAGTATATCAAACTAGTCTCCTTAGGGAGTTTTTATTCATTTCAGTAATGTACATTTAGCATAATAATATTAATTCAAAAAACAAAATTTTTAAATGTTTGAGCAGTCTTCTAGTGACATATAACTGCTTAAAACAGTTAAATTTTTTATATTTTGAAAATGCCAAAGCCTATGATACAGTAAGTATATTTACCAAACATTCATCATATAAGACCAACATTTAATTTTGGGGGCAATAACCATTAGTTTTAAATATTAATAATAAAGCCTGGTGAATAGAACAGGCAATTAAGCAAAAGTAATAGCCATGTATGGTGACTCATGCCTGTAATCCTGGCACTTTGGGAGGCCAAGGTGGGAGGACTGCTTGAGCCCAAGAGATCGAGACCAGCCTGAGCAAAAGCAAGACCACATCTCTTCAAAAAATAGAAAAATTAGCCAGGCATGGTGGTGTGCACCTGTTGTCTCAGCTACCTGAGAGACTGAGGCAGGAGGACCACTTGAGCCCAGAAGTCTGAGGTTTAAGTGAGCTATGATGGTGCCACTGCACTCTAGCCTGGGCAACAGAGTGAGACCCTATCTCAAAAAAAAAAAAAAGACAGTATATTAAAGAGACTTTTAAAAATATCTGTATGCTGATTTTGTGATTGATTTTAAGATTCTAATAATTATAGATTTCAATAATTATTATATCCATTAGACACCAGTAGTCATGAGAATTTATTTTTACTAACAGAGTGGCAATGTAGAAGTGAAAGGAATTTTGAGAGAATATATGTCAATATGAAATTTTTAACAATGAGAAAAAAGGAATGCTAAATTTATCAAAAGCATGAATATTAAGTTGAAGGAGTTCTAGGAGAGTTCTGCTTTGGCAACAGTCTTCCAGGTTGTTTCATAACAATTTATCCTCCAGTTACAATGAGAAAAACCAGATAAAATATGTTAAGAAAATTTTTGTATGCAGAACACTACCAAGATAATAAGAGTTTGATGTTGGGGAAGGGGGGTTTCCAACCAAAAGCAGAGGAAAGAAAGCAAGATATGAAAGCCTAGTGTTTGAAACTTTTCTCCACAATGTGACAGCTTATTTCAAAATCAAAAGCTGTGGCTGAGAGTCTCGTCCTGAGAGAGACATAAATCTAAACGAATAATTTTTATGTAAAATAACAAAAATGTCTTTTGAGCTTAAAATATATAGGAAATTAAAATGCACAACAACAGAAAACAAACATGGTAAGGACATTAAAATGGAGTTATAAGGTAACTGCTTTTCCAGAACTGATACAAGCAATAATTTATAACAGATTTTGAAGACCATGGACACATGTCTCTACACATATAATCTGTAGAGAAACCACTAAAGAACTGTGCAAGAATGTATAACTAATAAGCTAATAGAGGGAAAATAATATACATGTCAATTCACATGATTATTAATACCTCTGTAAGTGTATATGCTTCTTCAGCCGTGCACTCAGCCTTTGCTGTAGGATTACTTAGTGCAAATATTACCGGCCTTTCATTGATACAGGCCATGGCTTTGATTACACCAGGAGTGAAAAGACGGCCAGCACCTGCAACTCCTGTAATAAATAAAGTGGGGAAAAGGCAATTTCATAACAGGTATAAAAGCAATTCTTATCAATAGCATTTCTACAATAGGTGTACCATAACAAAAGCACAGGTAATATCTCACTACAAAGACAGCACTATTTCAGCAATGCAAAATCTATGAGAATATAGTCTCAAATCTGAAAAGAAAAACAATAAAGTGCTGAAAGTTTTCACTTAAATCCTTATTATCTACTAGACACACAGTAAATTATGGGAAATTAAAAAAACCAAAAAACTATCTTCATCACTGTCTCAAATTAAGAGACAAAACTTGCTACAACATGAATAATCTTGAGGACATTATATAAAATAAGCCAGTCACAAAGAGATAAATAGTACAGTAATCAAAAAGCTATCATAGAAAACATCATCTATGCCGAAAGCTAGGTAAAACTGTCAATTCACTTTTAGTAATCCTACATGGTAGTTACGACTGACAACATACAGTTAAGCAATAGAATTATTTATCAAAATAACTTTACTTACCAATTATAGCTGAAGGCTTAAGTATATTTACTGCCTCTTCAAAAGTATCAGGTATGTGCTCTGGGGCTGAGTGAGCAAATAGTTCTTGATTATTATCTATTTTGCCTTTCCGCTCCTGAATTTTGAGATAAAATACAGTATTTTTTTGGTAAATGCACATTGAGGATGAAGTGAAGAGTTATCATTATGAGTTACATACTGTTTCTACAACAGAAATGTCTTTTCATTTTCATTTACATTCCTCTTCAGACCCTATCTTCCAATTTTATCTTCACAGTGTCCATACTCAAATATAAAACAAAAATCAAATCCTATTATACCCAGAAACTTTCTAGTCTCTCTCTAAAAGTCATTTACTCTGTGAAGTCCTCCTAAATCCCAATATGGCACAAATGCCTACAATCCTTTACATGGGCTAGATGAGTGTTGGAGTTAGTAATTTTTCATATTTTAGAAATATAATATGGCAATATATCAAATATCATGAATTTCCCCCTCCCAACAGGCACCCCATAACTGAACTAACTTATGAATAGTCATACCAAGTACAAAAAGTTAAGACTACAAAATAGCCTCACATTATTTTGGGTCAAATTTTGCTACCAGATAAGTTCAGATCAATCAGATTTGCCACCAAATGAATTTCAGGAAAAAAAAAAACAACTTTGGGTTTTAAGAGCTTTTAGGATCTCAGAATTACAGACTGACATCATAGACTTGTATTACCAAGAGTTCAGAAAGAAGAGGAATAGGGAATTCTGGTTCAAGGTGGTTGAATGAAGAATTATGCTTTCCTTTCCAAATCCCGGGTCAAAAATAATAAAAAATCAATCCTTAGTAGTGCCACAAAGACAAAAGAAGTACCACTGACAGACTAAACCAGTGAGGAATTTCTCAAAGATTTAAAGCAGACAAAAACATATTGAATGCAAAAACCAACCAGTCTGAGAAACTCATATTCGTATTTTGGTAAGAGAAGACTTCCCCTGCAAAAGTCAATTTTTTCATCAGAACTCCAGAATAATTCCAAATAAGAACCAGAAGGGGCTAGGAAGAAGTACACCATCATTCTGTTGGCTGAGAAGTTAATCAAAGGACTGAAATACAGCCTCAACAGAACTGGTTTTTGAAACAATGACTTCTTATGCCTGCTCCCCAAATTACCAAAGCTTAATATGTGGGTTCAACAGGAGACTCTAAGTCTCAAAATAAGAGGAAGCACTGAGGGTCACTAGGAGACACTGGAAGCCTAAAGCCTATAGGTCAAGCTACCTGCACACTCTAAGAGAAATACATATTCTCATGACGAACAGAGAGATGAATAGGGATTCTCACTTGTGCTAAGGAAATACACTGTAGCTACCAATACTGTATTCATTTTAGACCTGACCTACCAGTATGATAAAGAATCACAACACATTTGATGAAAAATAATACTGCAAAAAGAAAAACCAAACTAATTGTGTATTAGTAAAAAATATATATCCCCCTAATAGTGTTCTAAAAATATGATGTCTTATCTTTCCATCTGACACACTAGCAAGCATGGTAGTTACAGCCTCCTTGGAAGGTAGCACAGTTTAACAATTCAAAGCATAGGCTTCAGAGCCAGGCTACTTGGATATTTGAACCTGACCTCAACAACTTATTAACTAATGACCTTGGAAAAGTTCCCTGACCTTTCAAACTTCAGTTTTCTCATTTATAAAACTTCACAGGATTTTTGAGAGGATTAAAGGAGATAATACATATAAAGTCTTATTAGAATCTCTGGTACATCTTAAACTACTATTGTTTTACATTATAGATAGTTTAAGCACTCAAGATCTTTCATTAACACACTTGAATTTTTCATTTTATTTTTTTTGTACATTAGTACAAAATACTGGTACTAATTAAGAAGAAAAGATTTCCAAACTGGAGGAAAGTACATTGAGATCACTTGCTCCACGGATATAAATGCCAAGTAACTAGTATACCATTAAATTATGATGTGTACACACAAAAATACAATAGCTTTGTATACTGGATAGGTTCAACTATGAAACAATTTACCTATATTTCAATGTGTTAACAGTATAAGATATACGACATTCTTAAAATAATAAAAAATGGTAATCAATGTTAAAGAAGGTAGGCAGGCCCAAAGGGTACTAAGTTAATCTGGGAAAGAAGTTCTTTATTATCTATAAATTGGTTTCAGGTATACATGCTTTTTTCTGGGGAAAGGGTCATAAATTTTTATTAGATTGCTACAGGGCATTATGATTTCTAAAGAGTTAAAGAATTTCTGTTCAAATGTTAGATGTACTGCTAATACTATAATTTAATTAAGAAGTTCTGAGTTCCCATTCAAAACCTAGTTTTATCATTAGAAGGGTCAAATATAATCATACTTGCAAAAGGGCTATTTGATCTCTTAAGAGCAAGAGAAGAAAGAGTAAGTCAACTGCCAACATAGAGACTGTGATTTGCATACAAAGCAAGTCTTGAGATTAGAGGATCTCTTTTGAAAATATAGTGGAAAGTCCCATTTGGTACAATTTGTATAGCCCAGTGAGATGCAAGATTTTAAGAAATAATAATATTTTAAAAACTCAACTAAAGGCCGGGCGCTGTGGCTCACGCCTGTAATCCTAGCTCTTGGGAGGCCGAGGCGGGCGGATTGCTCAAGGTCAGGAGTTCAAAACCAGCCTGAGCAAGAGCGAGACCCCGTCTCTACTATAAATAGAAAGAAATTAATTGGCCAACTGATATATATATAAAAAATTAGCCGGGCATGGTGGCACATGCCTGTAGTCCCAGCTACTCGGGAGGCTGAGGCAGGAGGATCGCTTGAGCCCAGGAGTTTGAGGTTGCTGTGAGCTAGGCTGATGCCACGGCACTCACTCTAGCCTGGACAACAAAGCGAGACTCTGTCTCAAAAAAAAAAAAAAAAACTCAACTAAAAATATCACAACAATACCATACTTTTGCTTCTCCAAATTTTAAATACCTTACCTTAACTAATAAACCATACTTGTCAAACATCCAGATTTTCTTTTGAGCCTCTTCTTCTGAGAGGCCATTTTCTACCATAGACATAACTATGAGATTTGCAATTCCAAGAGCAGCCTGTCCAACAAAACAAAAATTTTAAGAATAAAGAGTATAACACAGTGCTTTAATTACTTTATATATGAAGATTATATGTTATGAGCAGTATTTGCTTTATTCTTCCCTCACAAATCAAACAAATGTTGATTTTTGTGATATTCCCTCTAAACGTAAATTGCTTCTTTTACAAAAGAAATCTTGAATTCATACCCTCCCTCTCAACAAAATTAGAAGCTCATTATGCTCTTTTCAACATTCTGTCCCAGTTTCCAATTCTAAAAGAGAGTGTTGGTTTTAGTTTTTAAAAAGTTTACAAGAACTTACCTCTCCTGCGCCAAGAAATAAGATTTTGTGTTCTGAGATAGGTTTCCTAGTAACTTTTTGTGCAGTAAGAAGACCTGCTAGAGCTACTGCAGCGGTCCCTATAAGAAAAACAAAGATTTTTACAAATAAAAAATGGGCACAATAAAAATGTTTAAAAAGTAGGAATCAAAAATCTAAAGTTTTCTTTTTGTTTTACCTTGAATATCATCATTAAATGTACAATATTTTTCTCGATATTTTCTCAAGAACCTGAATGCATTATGATTTCCAAAGTCTTCAAACTGAATAAGTACGTTCCGGCCGTATCTAAAAACAGCAAAACCCACAGTTGATGTGTTGAAAATATCAGTATTAAAGAGCTTTCCTTATGTCCAACGTTACTTATGACACCATTTAAAAATAATGTTATTATGTTAGTTCAACTAAAGTAATTTGAAAATTTTCAGACCCTGTGAAAGACTAGACCCAAAATGTAGAAATCTATTAATCAAAAAAAATTTAAAAAGTATGGTGTATTTAAAAAGAATGTGTACCATGATGAGCCCATGGGATACCAATCTATGTAAACTATTTCCAAGTGCCTAGGAGGGTGCCCAGCACATATATGCACTAAATAATTCCTAAAAGAGACTATCTCTGAGTCTCAAAAACTATATATTTGATATGTATATTCTTATTACATTAACAGTTAAACAGTGGCACAGGAAAGTATATATTAAATAAGTAGTAAAAAAATAATTGCTTTATGAGTTGATTGACATTCAGAAAACAAAGATGTCAACATCTAGGTGACTTAGGGTAATAAAGGGAAGCCTGAAAAGGAAGTGGGACTTTATTTGGGCCCTGAAAGAAGAACAAAAAGTAAAGCAGTGGGAAGAAAAGCACAGTGTATCTTGGTGAACCTGAATTTTTAACAGTCTGGCAATATATTTCAGAGTTTATATTAAAGAGAAATTGGAGGAAGGATTCGAAGAATCCCGAAGAGAGATAAGGAGTGTGGCAATGGAAAACTAGAGACAGATTTCTGAGGCATTTAAGTGTTAGTATCAGCTGGATTTGAGGAATATTTGACTGCATGGGGGCATTAATAGAGAAGGATGAAGAGTCACAGATAATACCAAGACCAAACGTTTGGCAACAGGGTGAATGTTACTGCCAATAATAGAGACATAATAGCAATAATAATAATAATATATTCCAGCTATTAGAAATACATGCCTCAGAAAGGCAGTGCGACTACAGAGACGGGTTTTCATAGGTTTAGGAATCACATGCATCAAGGTCACAGTTTACGTGGTCAAGAAGAGGATTATGTAATTATCCACATTTAATAAAAGAGAGCAAGAAGAACCAGTAAAGATGATAAATGAAAGAAAAGTGGGAGAAAGACCAAGTTAGGAAAGTCTTTTGGTAGTCAAAAGAGAGTTTCAAGGACCTAGGAGTGGGAAAACTTGGTCAGATGTTGCAAAGAGGTAGAAGAGAAGGAAGATCAAACGGTCAGAGAATTCAAAACACAGAAGCTGCAGGAGAACTCCAGTGGAACAGTGGGAGTGACCCTAGATGTCCAGGACTGAGCAGCGAGGGTTTGAGAGAGGCAGTGAGGGCAGACTTCCCTCAGGCAGAGCACGGACACCTCCTTGTATCAGCATATCTAATCAGACAGAAAAGAACCAAAGTTCTCAAAAATTTAATCTCCTGCTTATCTTCACAAGAGATAAAGGAAAACAAAACAGAACTGTGGTTCCTGCTCCCCACCTCATTAAAGGTGCTTTCATATACTCAAAATGTTTTTTTATACCTGTCAGTAATAGCTTTCATAAACTCATCAATCAGGTCATCATAATGTTGTGAGCGATCTCGTTTCTGATACAAGCCCATGTAAAATGGATCTTTTAAGAGTGCCTATAAAAGAAACCAAATGTAAAAATAAAATCATTTTTATTACATAACCAGTTTAAACATACAAAACAAAAATGATAAAATAAAAAAAATACAATTTTTAAAACTTCATTGCCCTTTAAGAAACTTTTAATAGGCTTAATTAACTACTATTTATACAAATATTATAAGTAGAGTTTAGGAAGATGACCAATATCCCATCACAAAAATTTCCCTTCTTAAATTATCTTCAAAAGATGAATATAACTAAAAAGTTTTAAAAATATAGGAAGAAGATCAAAGGGGAGAATGACATTACTCACTACATTATCAGTTCCCACGTCAATACACACAGGCAGGCATTTATCAGGCTGTATTCCCGCACAAGCTGTATACAAACACAGTTTTCCTACTGGAATTCCCATTCCATAGACACCCAGATCTCCAAGACCCAGAATTCTCTCTCCATCAGTCACCACAACAGCCTTAATCACAAAAAAAAAAAAAAAGCAATTAAAAGTTGTCAAAAATGGGGCATCAAAAAAAAAGCATTTAAAAAAAGTTGACTCATTTCACATATTTTCACTATCACTTTTAAAAAAGAAAATTGTTTCTTGGCTAATTCCCAATGTAAACCAACCAAGCATACTTAAAATTCTAGGATTTCTGACTATCATAAGATACTAAAAAGAGAATTAACTGGATTTGATTTCCCTTTGACTTTGGTTTAGGAATAGAATGTTTTGACTAGAGGACCAACTAAAATATCTTCAGAAAGACTAAATATGGCAGAAGTGAACAAAATTCTGGTGGAGAGATTACCACAAAAGAAAAATAAGAGTTTAGAATTAAACAGCATGGGACTTCAACACAATAACCTAGGCCAAACAAGAAAAACCTTAGCAACCATGAAAGAGAAAAAGATCTAGGACAAAAAATAAACCTATCTATAAGGTTTTAAGATGATACTATGAGTTTAATTATCTGATGAAATATTTTTCTAGATTATTCAAACTAATGATTGTTCATCAGTGTTTACTTTGGTAAGGAATATATACATAATAAAGGCAAGTAAGATCACTATCTACAATAAAAACAAAAGCCTACCAAAAGATCTTGAAATGAGTTCTTATTTTTTATTTTATGAAAGATAGCCAGATTGACCATGGTTTATATTTGCTAAATTTAAAACTCTCATATGTGCTAAGGATCTAAACCTATCTTGGTTTTAAAGGAAAAAAAGACATAACCAATCCTTTCCAACACCCTACAGAATAAAAGTTTTTATGGCATTTTAATGCATTTTCTCTACTTAAAATAATATTAGTGAAATAGAAAAGGGATATAGAAAAAGCAAGAGAGACACCAGTGGTACTGACACTGAGAGAGCTCCAATTTTTTTCTTAGAGTCAAACACTAAACCAGTAAACCATTTTATAACTATTACTATTAGCATCTCAGATACAAAGTAAATCTGCATGTATATAAATGCAAAATAAATCAGAGAAACAATGAAAAACTTCTTGAAAATTTAGAGGCAATTTACAAGGAAAGAGAAAGCATTGTGAAAAGGAGGGTTGTGCTATTAGTACCTTAACATGATTTTCTGGCCAGTTATCCACAATTGATCTAACATGACCTCTGTCTGAGATTGAAATAAATAATCCCCTGCAACAGAACAAAAACACCTTTGCATTTTACAACAGTTTTGTTTCTAAGTTTTTGTTCATAATTGGAATATTTAGGTATTTTAATAAAACATCAAGACATGATATAATTTCCAAGCAGATTTAGCTAAGTCACACTGGTTTATTTTCAAACATTTCCAACTATTTCAAACTGTAATTACATTGTTTATGTAATAGCTGCACAAAGATTACTGTTAAATGATAGAATCATTTTACCCAAGAAGAAATGTATCCACATCTCATGTTCAAATAAACTCAATACGGGCCAGGCATGGTGGCTCATGCCTGTAATCCTAGCACTCTGGGAGGTTGATGTGGGAGGATCGCTTGAGGTCAGGAGTTTAAGACCAACCTCAGCAAAAGCAAGACCCTGTCTCTACTAAAAATAGAAAGAAATTAGCTGGACAACTAAAACTAGAAAAAATTAGCCAGGCGTGGTAGTGCACGCCTGTAGTCCCAGCTACTCAGGAGGCTGAGGCAGGAGGATTGTTTGAGCCCAGGAGTTTGAGGTTGCTGTTAGCTAGGCCATGGCACTCTAGCCTGGGCAACAGAGAGAAGACTCTGTCTCAGAAACAGTAACAACAACAATAACAAAAAACCTCAATACATCTGCAGTAAAAAAATAAATGAAAACAAAAACAAAAAACTAAAGATAAACCATCAATGTAGAAGAGCAAAACAAGGCCAATAAACTACTGTTAAAACTAAAAACCAAAAATATGAAATTTGAAGGAGCAGGAAGGAATAAAATTATACTAAATTCACATAAAAGATGACACACCTAAAGTATTAGGAAAACTGAAAAGTTATTTTTATTTTTTAATTGACAAAAATTGCATATACAGTTGACCCCTGAATATGGGAGCTAGAAAATCAAAAGTTGAAAATCCACGCACGTATAACTTTTGACTTTCCAAAAACATAACTACTAATAGCCTACTGTTGACCAGAAGCCTTACCAATAATGTAAGTTAACACATATTTTGTATGCTGTATGTGTCATATACTGTATTTTTGCAATAAAGTAAGCTACCGAAATTATTATTAAGAAAATCAGGCCGGGCGCTGTGGCTCACGCCTGTAATCCTAGCTCTTGGGAGGCCGAGGCGGGCGGATTGCTCAAGGTCAGGAGTTCAAAACCAGCCTGAGCAAGAGCGAGACCTCCTCTACTATAATAGAAAGAAATTAATTGGCCAACTGATATATATATAAAAAATTAGCCAGGCATGGTGGCGCATGCCTGTAGTCCCAGCTACTCGGGAGGCTGAGGCAGAAGGATTGCTTGAGCCCAGGAGTTTGAGGTTGCTGTGAGCTAGGCTGACGCCACGGCACTCACTCTAGCCTGGACAACAAAGCGAGACTCTGTCTCAAAAAAAAAAAAAAAAGAAAGAAAATCATAAAGATGAGGGGTTGGTCTTGCTGTCTCAGAGGTGGAAGAAAATCTGTGTTGTTCAAGGGTCAATTATATTTATCATGTACATGTTTTGAAATATGTATACATATTTCATATAAGGAATGGCTAATGAAAAGTTATTTTAAACACAGTATACTGCTATCTAATTGAGATAATTAATCCAGATTTCAAAAGAGAAAGGAGAAAAATAGAAAAGAAAGATAGGTTCTAGAAAACCTGTCAGGGAGAGAGGAGGGCCAACAGGTCCCCATTGCCTTCAAACTGATTCTTACATTTAACTTTTTCATTGGTATCTTAACTTTGGCATTACTTCTGTACTTCAAATCGGTTTAGCTCAGCAGTTTCTCAACCATGGCTACAAAATAGGCTCATCTGATGAGACTTTTAAAGTGTCAGGGTCCCACCTCCAGAGATTCTGATTTAATTGGCTTAGAGTTTGCATCAATCAACCAAGATTTACTGACCATCTATGTAAAAAACAAAACAAAACAAAACCACTGCACAATACACTATAAAAATAAAATACAGCATCTACCCTCACCCAAAAGCCATGCTCTTTATGTTTCATGTCAGTTTTCAACTCTGGTGGTGCATATCAGAATCACATCAGGAGCCTTAATGAAACCCCCACACCTGGGCCTGAGTTTAGACTGACTAAATCAGAATCTCTGGGGGTGGGGTTCAGGCATCAGTATCTTTAAGTTTCCCTTTATCCTTTAATGGAGGTTGAGAACCACTATTCTAATAAGAAACTACAAAAGAGTTGAACAGCATATACATTAATTGATGGCAGCATATTCGTTAGAACAGTGTTTCTCAGTGTCTTCCTGGGAATACCTACAACACAATCACTGAGGATGTTCACTAAAATCCAGACCTCCCATTCATCAGAAATCTTGGGGATGGGAAGAAGAGGAAAGTTGGCAGAGATTAACATTTTCAGTAAGTTCCACAGGTGTTTCTGACGCACATTAAAGTTTGAAAGCCATTAGACTCGATGACAGGAGACTGAAGATCAATGCTGTCACACCTTGTATGAATTTCTACATTTGTATCAGTATTTTAGCTAGGTATGGGAAAAATATAAGGATTGGGGAAAATAATAACAGGTTAGAGTAACAAGACAAGAAAACTCAAGTAAAAATAGTTATTTATATAATGCTCATGAGTTAACAAAGAACTGTCATATCAGTTTCTTCTCAGCACTTCTTTGATAGGTACTGTTATCTGCATTTTACACATGAGAGAACACAGAAAGAGGACCATGTAAGTCATTCAAAGCCTTAGGCAACAGCCCATTCCAGTACTCTTCTCACTTAAAATATCTGGAGGTGCTAGAACTATTGGAAATTAGAATTCATGAAAGTTCATAAAAAAGGAGAACAATCAACAGGAATTAAAGTTGGCATAAAATAAGAAAGAACCAATCCTATATTTTAGGCAGACTGACAAAACCTTTAATGATAATTCTGGAGAATCTGCCACCAGAATTAAGATTTTTTTTGGTTCCAAAAGTACACAATTCCTCTAACAATCATAATAATTTAAAGAAGGTTAGGAATGAAATGCTATTTCTACAAAGATAAAAGTTATGAATATGTTGGTTTTTTATTAATCCCTTTAAATCCAAATTAAGCTTTTGTAATGTGAGAAATGTGATTAGAATAAGACTACAACACATAAAATAGAAATAATAGGTGTTATGGAATGATATTTTCCTTATAATTGTAAATGATTATTGTATATTTTTTAAAATAAGCCTTACTTAGGTCTTCTAAAGATGTGTCCATACTGAGAGCAGGCAAGCCCAACTGTTGGTGTATATACAATTGGCATCAGGCTTTCGATATCATCTTGCAGTATTCTAAAAAACAATTTCTCATTTCTTTCTTGTATTCCCATTATATAGATGTATCTGAAATTAAGCAAAGTATATAATGTCTAAGTCAGCCTGCATTACATTAAAAGTTTTGGCTTAAGAAAATTAAGTCTAAACATGTAAAATTGAAATTGAGTCCCCTCCCATGTCCACACGTCAAAGAAAAACAAAACCCTAAATTATCAATATTTAACACCCAGGACTAAAAATTAACAAAAATATAAGGGAATTTAAAGGGCAGATGAAGATGATGATGATGATGATGATAATGATGATGAAAATAACAAACAACACCACCTAAAGTTTACTGAGCCTTTAAAACACAAACAACACCACCTAAAGTTTACTGAGCCCTTACTGTGAGTCAGGCTCTGTACAAGGCACTAGAAATGTAAAGATCACCTTAAGCAGAGGTCCCCAACCTATGGTGAGTTGTATAATTATTTCATCATATATTACAATGTAATAATAATAGAAATAAGGTGAACAATAAATGTAATGCACTTCAATCATCCCCAAACCATCATTCCTCTAATCCCTGCTCCCGTCCGTGGGAAAAATTTTCTTTCATGAAAACAGTCCCTAGTACCAAAAACGTTGGGGACCACCACCTGAAGGAATTGATCTTCAAGGACACTGACATGTAAAAAAGGAAGCAAAAGAAAGTGGCATTCATTCAAATGTTAGCTTAACACTACATGTCAGGCACTACTTTGAACTCCGGGGATGTAAGAAGTGACCCCTACCATTAAAGAGTTGATAACCCAGCAGAGTTATAAGCATTAGAAGGTTTGCATAGAGCACAGAGGCAGCACAAAGGAGGCAATGGTCAATTCGTGTAAATAAATATATTAGTAGCTTCTTTTTAAGTTTAAAGAACAGGGAAATATTGGCTTGTAAACCAGTAATCATCCTGAATGAAATATGTCTAAAACAGACTCTATCTTTTCTCCAAACTTTTTTCTTTTCCTGTACCATCTGACCAAACGGGAAACCCAGAGTCCATTCTTGACTGCTTCCTCTCCCATCCTCTCCTACACCAACCTAATAAATCACCAAGTCCTACAGAGTCTACCTGGTACACTCTGTATCTTTCAAGCATTTCCTCCCTCTACCCTCGCCCAGTCCAAGCCACCATGATTTCTCTCCTGGACTACCTCAAGAACCTTCTAATGAGCTTTTTGTTGTTGTTATTTGTTTGTTTTAAGAGACAGGGTTGCTCTGTCGCCCAAGCTGGATGATGTGCAGTGGTCCTATAATCATGTCCTCCAAATGCAGCTCAGGTGGCATGCTCTCTGGGGACCCTACTCTGCCCACTCCTCTCCCCCACCACATACATACACACACACATTAGACTTTTCTGTTTTCCTATGATGCTCTAGTCCCTCTTATGTAACCCGCACTCCCCTCTTGACTTTCCAGCTTCCCTCCAGTCTAGACAAAACCATGAGCTAGGGACTATCACCTCATATACTTCTATATTTCCAGAAACTAGCCAAGTATATGGCACACAACACGTGTGCAAATATTTGGTGACTAAGGAGAAGTGATCCATTTAGAAGAGGAATTATATTTTCTATATAGCACCAGGGGCAGAAATGGTATCAGTAGGTAGAAATTAAAGGGACACAGGTTTTTCCTCAGTGTAGCATAGTAAGTAAGCAAACAACTGAGGGGTTATTAATAAGACGGCTTTGTGAAGGAGACAGCAGAGATATTAAGGAGAGAACAGGTGACCTATCAGGCATGTGACAGAGGGAAGTTATGCAAGTTGTGGACTTCTTTAATCACTCTCACCTTCATTCCACTTTAGTCACTCTGTGTTCCTCACAGGGATGCTGTAGCACTCACCTAGGATCGTTACAGCTCAGAAATGGTGAATGCCCTTATTCCACTCTCAGATCACAACCCTTTGCCATTCGGATAGCTATACAATGCCCTCACTTCATCATCCTTCCAGGGATTTCTAGCTTCTTGATCCCCTCATTTTCTCCCATTCTATTAGCTCCCTTTGGGATTCTTTTCATTCCCTAGTGGATTCCATAATCAAATCTCTCACTCCAAGCAAATCTTTTCCTGTCATTACACTATCTTTACCACTGCACCGCCCACCCAGACTGTGAATTCCCTGAAAGGAAGGACTAGGTTTTTTTCATTTTTTGAGTTCAAGCACTTAGACCAATGCCTAGCACGTAACAGCCCTGAATGAGTATTAGCTGAATTAATGTAGCATCTCTGCTAGCCCAGCAAACTGCAAACCAGAATCAATGTTACATTTCATCTTTTCTGTGGAAAAATAACATTGCTGTTCAGAATGGCACCCATATAAACAAGATTATATTGACAGGCTGTCAGGGCCTGTTCAATTCCTTTAACCTGCCCTTGCAGCTTTAACTCCAAACACTTACCACTCTTCTTCGCCAACCTTTTCAACCTTGGCCCTTCTAAAGCTGAGCTTTGACTTTCATATTTTATGTCATAAAGAAAATCAAGATCAAAGAGGTTAAATGAAATCTCATTATCTCTGCTCCAACACCTCCATACTTACTCTTACTAATACCTGTATTTATCTTCTTTACTTCTGCTTCAGAGAATGCACTGTTCTTTGTTCTTGTTCAAGGCCAGCCTCTCTACCTCTGCACTTGACCCTATGCCTTTTTCCAGAGATCTTGCTCTATCAATTATTCTTTCTCCTGGCCTCATGCATGTTTAGCTTCCCCCCAGTCTAAAACATACTTCAACCCAAGTCCTCCTTTACTTACTGTTAATGTCTTTCTGCCCCCTCTTGCCCGAACTTATTGAGAGTGGTTTACATTTCCTTCCCTCCCATTCATTTTTCAATCCATTGCAGTCTCCATTTTGCCCCATCACATCAAGGAAATCTCTCTCGCCAGTCAACAATAATCCACTATACTTAAAAAACTTAATGGATATGTTTCACCTGTATGCAGACTGATCCCTTTACCCAGAATAACTTGTCTGTCTTTCTCATTAGCCTGCCACCTACAGCATATTGTAAAAAATTCAGCTCAGCCAGCATAGCTGTGTGCATCTGTAGTCTCAGCTACTCGAAAAGCTGAGGTGGAAGGATCACTTGAAACCCGGAGTTTGAGGCTGCAGTGTGCTATGATCGGACCTGTGAATAGTCACTGCACTGCATTGTATTCCAGCCTGGACAACATAGTGAGACCTCGTCTCTTAAAAAAAAAAAAATTCAGCTCTTGCACCACTTCCTCCAGAAAGCTTTATCCAATTCCTCAAGTTGGGCTAGGTACTCTCTTCATGCTTCCAGAATATACCCTGCATGTACCGTTTTCTTATTGTACCTTACACTGTGGTCTAGAGTACAATGACAAGCATAGTATAACCATCTATTGACAAGCTTCTACAAGACAGGGCTGGGTACTACTGGGTTGGTCATACATTCTAGTTTGCCAGGGACAGTTTTGGTCACACCTCTTTTTCACTCCTCAAAGTGCCTGGATTAGATGATATAGTAAACAGTCACCCTATCTATTACCTACTTGATATCCTCAGTGGCTAGTATAGTGTCGCACACAAAGTAGGTGATCAATAGACATCGAATAAAATGGGCATAAATCAGATGGTAACCTTTCCTTCTAAAGTTCTATTAAAACCTGAAATGTTCTAGGTTTAAGCATAAAAACCTACTTCTAAATTTTACAACAGTGAACACAGTGAAGCAGTCACTGAAATGAAAGAAACAATCATCATAAAAATAGTTACCTGACAAAAACACAAACTATTAAGAGATTGTATATTTCTCATGCTATAATAACCATAATGCTCCCAATATTCCTAATCAGAATATCAACAAAAAACAAAACATTTAATCAACTCTTACTTTTCCAAAGGGCTACTCATTTTTTTCAAGTTTCTGTGGAATCGTAAGGCTTGAATATCTTGTGTCTCTATTTTGGGAGGTAGAAGTCCTTGAAGACCAAGCATTTGTCGTTCCTGTAATGTAAATGCCATTCCCTAAAGAGGAGAAATAAAAAGATTAAATATTATTTTTGCCCAGACGTGGGAAAAAGGTTACTCTTACATACCATTGTTGGGAATGTAAACTAGGTTAGACTTTTGGAAGACAATTTTAAAGTATTCTTAAATTTTTTAATGCGCATACTCTTCAATCAAGCAATTCAACTTCTACCTAGCCCTCTTAGAGAAACATCCATACATGAAATAAAGAGGCATATACAAAGAGATTAGCTACAGTATTGTTTCTAGTCCTCTTGGCCGTTAAAAACTAAAAGTCCATGAATTATGATATAGTTAAGCATACCATAGAAATAGTTAAACATATATCTCTAACCATATAGTAGAGAGATCTCTAAGACATATAGTTAGGAGGAAAAAAAGCAAGTTCCAAATCAAAGCCAACTCACTGTTAACCCATTCATGTTTTAAAAACCCACATAAAACTACATATTATACACAGATGCATGCATACATTATAAGTGAAGTCAACAGAATACAGTCTGAAAGAACATAAACCAACTCATAGCAGAGGCTACCCCTCCACTCTGAAAGGAGTGAGGCTGGGTGGGGGAAGGGGGATGGAAGAAATTATACCTAAGGAAAAATTAATCTATGTCATAAGATAATCTTTTTCAATTTCTGGTATTCTGCTGAAGGTTACATTCATTGCATCAAAGCAATGTCAGTGAAAATGCTGGACACTAAGGACTTCGGAAATTTTTTTCCTCCATAAAAGCAACAAGAACACTGGCCAAGTGATCAAAATCAATTTTTGGAATAATGGAAATTAACCAAAGGCTTGTAGTTTCTATTGGGGAGCACTTATTCAAGAAAAACGGCTGAATTTTAGTAAACAGCAAACTTCCTGATATTTTATCATGCTCCCCTCCCCTCTTTAGCTCCATGATAGTTTTGAAAACCAACAGTTCACAAAATCAACAGCCTGGAACAACCACTGGAGAGGATAAAAGGGACTAGAGATTCTTCCAAAGCCCTATTCTCAGGGAAATGTCATTATTTGACCTATCTGGTGGTTCCCTGGAAGACTGCACTTGCAAAGCTGTCCCTATTTGACCTAACTTGGAGCTCACCCAGTGCAAACAATCTTTCCCTGAGAAGTGCTTGTTGAAAACAATCAGAGGCAATTATGTGGTAAGGCAGTTGACAATAGTGAGACAAACAATAGGGTAACCAAAAAGCTGAAAAAGAAAGGCTAAGGAATGAGATGTCCTTGGGGGAGGAGCTCTGACAAGCTCTCAGGTGGTACTGGGAATCAAGAAGGCCAAAGCATGACCTGTGGACATGCTCAGGAAAGACCTGAGAAGGCCCTAAGCTCCCACCGCTGGCTGGCCTTGAGGTTCTGTGCAAGCAGGAAGTGAAGGCTGATTGATGTGTGGTTGGAAACAGGCTGCCTGAGCACTGGAGGCACGCCCTAGCAAGCACACAGAGTTCCTTATGAAGAATGGGGAATGTACTGGTTCTAAACATTTAAGTCCTTGTCTAATCATTAGCTGATCACTAAACTAACCAAGCAGAGACTTCAGTAGGCACACAGAACAAGAATATAGATTTTATAGTTAGCTCAGAAATGTCACTAAATAAGCAAAAGCAGCAGCAACACAACAAACCTAAGGAGTATCTGATTTCCAGAGCTGCCACATTGTTTAAAATGTCCGGTTTGCTAAAAAAAATCATGATATACAAAGAAACAAGAAAGTCTGACTCATATACATGAAAAAAGGCAGTTAATAGAAACTGTCCTTGAGGAAGCCCAGACATTGTAGTTACTAGACAAAGACTTCAAATCAGTAACTTTAAACACATTCAAAGAACTAAAGGACACCATGTTTAATGAACTAAAGGAAAGTATGAGAACGATGTTCTACCAATTAAGAGAATATCACTAAAGATATAGAAATTATAAAAAGAAACTACATAGAAATTCTGGGGTTGAAAGTAAATTAAATGACATAAGAAATTCACTAGAAAGACCCATTAGCAGATTTAAATAAGTGGAGGAAAGAATCAGTGAACTTAAAAATAGGTCAACTGATATCATCAAGTCTAAGAAACAGAAAGAAAAAAGAATGAAGAGGTATGAAGAACAGAGATTCAGATAACTGAGGGACACCCCATCAAGTGTGCCAACATATGCATAACAGAGTCCCAGGAGAAAAGAGAAAGAGGCAGAAGAATATTTGAAGAAATAACACCCCCAACTTCCCATATATTATGAGAAACATTGATCTACCCATCCAAGAAGCTCAACTCCAAGTAGGATAAACTCAAATACATGTATACATAGACACATCATAAACTGTCAAAAGGCAAAGAAAGAAATCTGAAAGTAGAGTTCTAGAAGTGACTTATCATGTATACGGAATCCTCAGTAAGATTAACAGCTAATTTCTTATCAGAAACCATGGAGGCTAGAAGGCAGTGGGATGACTAAATATTTAAAGTGCTGAAAGAAAGAAACTGTCAACCAAGAGTTTCTATTAATATATCCTACAAACTATTCTTCAAAAATAAAGGAGAAATCAAGATATTCCCAGCTAAACAAATATTGAGAAAACTTGTTGCTAGCAGACCTACCCCATAAGAAATATCAAAGAGAGTCCTACAGGCTAAAATGGAAAGACACTAGACAATAACTCAAATATACACAAAGATACAAACAGCAACTTTTCCCCTCCTGATTTAAAAGAGAACTGTATAAAGCAATAATTATGTATCTCTGCTGATGGAAACACAACATATAAAAATGGTATGCTAGAAAATATCTATTTATCATAAAGGAAGGCAGTAATGGAGGAATAGAGAAACAAAAAAAGACACAGAAAACAAGAAGCAAAATGGCAGATGTAAATCCTACCTTATCAGTCATTACATTAATGTAAATGGATTAAACTCAGGGATTGGCTGAATAGATGAAATAACATGATCTAATTATAGGCTGTCTCCAAGAGACACACTTTGATTCAAAGACACAAATAGGTGAAAGTAAAAGAATGGAAAAGATACACGATACAAATAGAAACCAAAAGAGAGTTGGAGTGGCTACACTAACAACAGACAAAACAGACTTTGTTTTTTTCTGAGACAGAGTCTCACTCTATTGCCCGGGCTAGAATGCCATGGCATTGGCCTAGCTCATAGCAACCTCAACTCCTGGGCTCAAGCAATCCTACTGCCTCAATCTCTGAGTACCTGGGATTACAGGCATGTGCCACCATGCCCAGCTAATTTTTTTGTTGGCCAATTAATTTCTTTCTATTTTTAAAAGAGACAGGGTCTCACTCTTGCTCAGGCTGGTTTCGAACTCCTTACCTTGAGCTATCCGCCCACCTCAGCCTCCCAGAATGCAAGGATTACAGACATGAGCCACCACGCCCGGCCAAAACAGACTTTAAAACAAACATTATTACTACAGAAGGACATTTTATAATGATGAAAGGGTGAATCGATTAAAAAGATATAACAATTATAACACCCCTAATGACAGAAGTCCAGAATACATGAAGCAAAACTAATAGGATTGAAGGAAGACAGACAGACAGACAATTCAACAAGTTGGAGACTTCAATATCGCACTTTCAATAATGGAGGAAACACCAGACAAGATAAATAAGGAAACAGAAGATTTGAACAACAGGATGAATCAACTAGACCTAACAGACGTTTATAGAACAGTCCACTCAATAACAGCAGTATATACATTCTTCTCAGGTGCTCATGGAATATTTTCTAGGACAGAACATACATTAAATCATAGAACAAATTTCAATAAATTTGAAAGAATTTAAACCATTCAAAGTATGATTTCTGACTGCAATGCAATGAGATTAGAAACCAGTAATATAAGGAAATTAGGGGAATTCACAAATATCTGGATAGTAAACAACACTCTGCCTAATAACCAATTGGTTAAAGATGAAATCACAAGGGAAATTAGAAAATACTCTGAAATGAATTAAAACACAACATACCAAAACTAAGGGAATGCAGTGAAAGCAATGATTAGAGGCACATTTACATCTGTAAATGCCCATATTTTAAAAAAAGCAGAAAGATCTCAAATCGATAACCTAACCTGAAGCAAGCAGAAGGAAGGAAATAATTAGAATGAAATAGGGAAGAGAAAAGATAATTGGGGAAAAAAACCCAAAAAACAATGAAACCAAAAGATGGTTTTTTGAAAAGATCAACAAAGTTGATAAACTTTGGGATAAACTAACACAGAAAAAAGGAAGAAAACTCAAATCATTAAATCCTTTATGTCTCATGCTTCTCCTTATAAGATTTTATTGAAGGCTGGGATATATAAAAGAGGTAAAACCCAAACTGTCACTCTTACTCCCTTTTTCCAACTCTAGTAAAAGGCTAAAGAAAATGCTAAAATTTATGTTTAAATGAACTATGTAGTTCATTTAAAAGTGCTTTGCCTATCCTTACTATCAAAGGTAAGTGAGTTGGCTATACAAGGTTTCACTATCTATCTTCTATTTAGATTTAAGGGACACTCAAAAGTGTTTTATTTACAATGCAGGGTAGAAAATAAAATGATTACCAAAGATATAATTTTATGTACAAGTATTTTTGTTAACAGTTGGTCAAATTCTTAAATTTGCTAGCCTGGTGTTAATAAGTGAAGCAAGACTATGACGATGACAGTTTAAAATGAATAGTTTGATTACTTTGTTAACATTCAGCAGATACAAATGTCTTCTCATCTACTCCTCTACTTTCTCCATCTTCCTCTGCTATTTTTCCCGTTGTCTCACCTATGCAACAGTAACACTCTCTCTCCCTCCCAATTTACATAGTAAAGGTGTACTTCCTTTAGCTGATCCTGAAGGATCCTGAGCTATTTTCCTTTAGTACATACTGTTTCTCCACCTAAGTTAATATTGATAAAGATCCCTTAACTTGACTTTCAAACATGCTGGTAAATGTGGTAGGGGACAAATAGAGTCCTCTTCTGCTCCTTTTCATCTTAGTGCAGTTAGAATAATCTGCCGGGGATTAGGAAATTGCCAAATATTTATAGAACTGATAACATGACTAGT